CTTCTCTGACTACTCTGGTATCTAAAAAACTATGAATGCAAATGGAAGGGTTTTCCTCTCAGGTGGGACACTTTTGGATCTCTCTGTTTTTTTGGGGCCACTGTTTTCATAATAGATGGAGAAATTTTGTTTCTGCCCAACTCTAAGGATGCCTTTTTTCTTTTATATCTTCATTTTCTACTGTCAGGAGCAGCCCTCAATGTATCATGAGCTGGCTTTGTGGCATTGCAGGTTTGAATTGCTGACCTTGCAGTGACAGTGCTTGTGAGATTTCCAGATCAGCTTTATGTCATAAGGGAGCTGATAACTGAAAAAATATTTCAAACATTTGATTTTCCATTGAAAGCAACTTCAAGCTTTTTTGAAGTTTACTCATTAATTGCCAGGATTTGATTTATAGCATCTACAGCTGGGAAGAAGCACACAAGATATACTGGCAATTTGAGTTCATTCAGCTTGCAAAAGCCCCTGAAACAAATGTGTACTTCTACGTCAGTGTTATCAATGTATATGTTCTCTAGGAATTGGAATAAGCCCAATGTGGCCATGCACTTTCCAGATAAAAAGGGGATGTCCTTAGAGCAAGGTTACTTACAAGCCACAAAAGATTTTTCATATTAAAACAAGCTGTTTCCAGACTCTGGGTTTTTGTAAAAGAGTCTATGCTAAAAAATAGTGGGGAGTCTGCAGCAAGAAAGGCCAAGGTTGGAGAAATAATAGTTAGCTGTAAACTAATCCCATCCTTTCTATGTCTTGGGTTTAGACTGGGTCTATCCCAAGGTAACCTTTATAAATTAATAGGGCAGTGAACAGTCATGATATTGGGACACCTGCATGGGCAGTGAGAGTGTGGCTGAGAGAGGCTGGGCTGCAATACAGTGGTGGTAACACTGCTGTGTTTCCTGAACAGCACACAGAGCTTCATTTTCTGGGTCTGAATAGTTTTAAACCCTTCCATTGTGGGGAGCAGTAAACATCTTCCTTGTTATTCAGATATTTTAATGGTTCTACTAGCACTTGCCAAATTTTGTCCATTGTTCATTTCAGATATTTGCATCCCACCCTAATGACTCTCTTACAGCCACTGTAAGACATGCTGGCTGTGTATTGCTGCCAGTGTTCCATTGAAATTAAAGGTGATCACATCTGGGGCATTATTGTGAGTGTGTCATCATCACATGTGCCATAACTTCTGAGCTTTGGATGTGTGCTTTAGCAACAGTAGGATTATTGGCAGAATATGATGTGGAATAATCCAGAATGTTCATGTAGAGGCTGCACATCCTGTGTTCATTAATTGTTTTCAATCTCAAGGACTCCAGCTAATTCCTCATGGATTGGAACTACGCAGAGAAATCCCATGACAATTAATTATTCATTTGTTTTTCATAGGAAAACAATAATCTTCAGGCTTAGTTTGATTTGATGTTTAAAATGGAAAGCTGAGGAAGGCTTTCCTGCTGCTGGAAATGAATAGCAAATGAAAAGCTTCCTGGAAGACTGCACATAATTTCCACATGTTCTCAGCAGTGTGGTTAAGAAAGGTTTGTGGCAGCACTGAGGGACAGCCACCACAGCAGAATTATCGACTCACTGCTCTTCACAGTTGTTGTCCAAAGGTGGCCTCAGTAGAATTGTCAGAAGCAAAACTAAAATAGGTTTGAGAAGGTCTGAATTGATTGACTTGGACCTTCTGGGAAGGTGAAAAGGAATGGGACTGCTGTTGCCAAGCCCATGCAGGAAGGAAGCTTTAGCACTTGTCCAGCCGACCAGCGTGAAGCAGGAATCTCCTCCATTCCCCAGCTTTCCTCCAGTGCAATCACTGAGTTGGAGGGGACAGACACTGTTACCAGCTCAGGTCACCCCTACAAGGCACCTCACTGGGGTCTGACCACCACATGTTTCAAGGAGGAGCACACCTAAGCTAGCCTAGCCGTCCTGCCCTTCAGCAGACTGCAGGTTCTGCTTCTCTTTCAGCCCAACAAGACTCTGGTATCTGGTGGTCTTGTGAAATAAAATACTTGAAATGCCCAGGATTGTGCTCAGAAAATCTTTCAGCAGATGCAAATATGGAGAGCATACAATCTACTGAGGTTTGTAGGTTGAATTGGGAGGGGTCTCTGGAGCATAACAATGTCAACAAAAATGTCACAACAATTCATAGCACCTTTTTTCCTATGCAAATTTATGAAAATAGCAATAGAGCTGGCAATCCCCAGGAGCAGGAAATAGGGCAAGGAATGCTAGAGACTGGCTGGTCAAACTGAAGGAAAAGAAACACAGGCAGTGGAAACAAGGGCAGGTGAGCAGGGAAGAGTATGGAGACAAAGTTTGGTTGTGTGGGGATAGGGTGAGGAAGGCCAAGGTGAAGCTGAAACTGAACTTGGCAAGGAAGATTAACAGGAAGTTAACTCTTCCACAAGTGTGTTAACCTGAAAAGGAAGGTCAGAGGAGGTGAATGCCCCTGATAAACAGAACTGGTAAACTGATAACAGTGGATGAAGAAAAGGTTGAGGTTTTTTTCCTCAGTCTTCAATGGCAACCTCTCTTCCCACACCTTGAGTGGATGGAAATCAGGATGGGGACTGGGAGGGCAAAGTGCCTCCCTCTGTAAATAAAGATAAGTTTGTGACCATCTGAGGAACCTGAATGGATGGAAGTCTATGGGATCTGATAAGCTGCATCCCAGAGTCCTGAGGGAATTGACTAAGGCAGTTGCCAAGCCTCTCTCCATGATATTTGAAAAGTTGTGACAGGTAAAGTCAGGAAAAGTCCCTGGTGACTGGAAAAGAGGAACCATTGTACCCATCTCCAAAAGGGTCAACAGGAGGATCCTGGGAACTGCAGACCTGTCAGTGTCACCTTTGGGAAGATCATGGAGCAGATCCTCCCTGGAGCCATGCTAGGGCACATGGAGAACAGGGAGGAGATTTGGGCTTCACCAAGGCAAGTCCTGCCTGGCCAGCCCAGTGGCCTTCTGTAATGGAGTGACTGTGTCAGTGAGCAAGGGAAGGGCTACAGATGTCATTTATCTGGAGTTCTGCAAAGCCCTAGACACAGCCCCCATAACATCCTGGTCCCTAAGTGGGCAAGAGCTGGACTGGGTGAACTGTTTGGAGCAGAACAAAGTGGTTGGACAGTCACATCCAGAGGGTCATAGTCAGCAGCTCAGCGTCCCAATGGACATCAGTGACAAGTGGTGCCCCTCAGGGGTCTGGACTTGGACCAGTGCCATTTAATATCTTCATTATTGACATAGACAAAGGGATCAGGGCACCCTCAGCAAGTTTGCAGATGACATCAAGCTGAGTGATGTGGTTGCCACACCTGAAGTACAGGATGCCTTGGGACCTGGACAGTCTCAAGAACTGGTCCCATAGGAATCTCATGAGGTTTAACAAGGTGAAGTGCAAGGGTGCACCTGGGTCAGGGCACCCTCAGTATCAATCCAGGCTGGGGGATGAACAAATTGAGAGAAGCCCTGCCTGGCAGGACTTGGGTGTGATGGTGGGTGAGAGGCTGGACATGAGCTGTCCATGTGCATTTGAAACCCCGAAAGCAAACTGGGTCCTGGGCTGCATCAAGAGAAGTGTGGCTAGCAGTCGAGGGAGGAGATTCTGCCCCTCTTCTCTGGACACATAAGGCTGTCCAGAATGTGCCTGATTTCCATTATTTCTGAGTCTATCTGAATAGTCATTTCAGAGATTTGTCTGCCAGCTGCCCTACTATGGTGAAACTTTTGATGGTAGCATAAGGTTTGTAGATGTTTGTTGAACACTTTGCATTGAAATAGAGAGGATCAAGCTCACAACTTCACCTGTCTTCTGCAAATTAGAGCATCAGTATTGGTCAAGCAGAGTGTTCTAGAGGTGCCTTCATTTTAGTGATATTTTAGTCAAGACCAGCTTGTTAAGCAGAAATGTTCTATCTCATCTATTTACATGTGCTAATAGGAAGAAAAAAGTTAGGTTTAGCAATTGCTACACATTTCTTCAGAAATGAGGATGTTGAACTCATTTGTGTTTTCTGCCCACGGTGAAGTGTGTAGTGATTGCAGTAGGGCCGCCTTTACACTCCTGGGTTCAGAAATCAGTGTCCAGAACTGCAAGTGTTTTCCCAGTGCTAAAACAGACAAGAGAAGAGTTCTCAGTCTTCTCAAAAAGAGACTCCTTTTATCTCTCTCTGCAAGGTGATCAGTGTTATCAGCTGGTTTGAGAGCCCATTTGTGCCAGAGCAGTGCAAAAGAAACAAAGCATGACTGAGAGACACATGGAGTACAGTGCTTTCAGAGCTTATTTTTAGACTGGAAATAATGTTGGTTTTAATCTTCCTTGATGGCTGTTTTCAAAGGCACACAGGATGGACATCGGTATTGCACCTGTCAATGCAACCTTGTTTATAAAATCAAGGAAACATTTAAATGTACCAAGATTGTAGATAGTAGCTTTCTTTCCAGTTTTTTGTTGTTATTGTTGTTTGGTTTTTTTTTGGTCTCAGCTAAAAAAAATTCCAATAACTAACTGATTTTAATAGAATATGATATTTTCTTTGCTGTACCCAGGGGAAGTATTGGTTTGGGGTTTTTTTGGGGGGTTTTTTGGGTTTGTTTTTTTTTTTTAAGATCAGATTTCCTGTGATTCACTCAATCTGTGTAGAAGGTCCATGCAAAAAACATGATACCACCTTTTACAGTACTTGTATTCTTTATACAATAAGCTAGTTATGTATTTCTTCAGATTCCCAAAGGAACTGCTATCTCCTTGGGGCTAAAGCAACTGTTGGGAGGTCCTTCTGTTTTCAGCATCATCTTGGTTTCATAAAATCCCCTGAGGAGCTACATGTTGTGGTGGCAGAGCATGCTTTACCACTGATTATCTGAACTTCCAGAGGTCACTGATGAATTGTTTGTCAGCTTCCTTCACTGGCTGGGAATGATTATTCTCATGGTTTCTCTGTTGAGCTGACTTATCTTTGCATGTTTCCCTTCAGTGTTTCAGGAGTGCGTCTGAATCCATGTTTCTATGCCCAAAAGCCAGACATTTTACAATTCCTTGGGGTAAGTGTGATGTGATAATCTGACTCTGACAGCAGTGACAAAACTTTGAGTCCCTGGGAGGTGAGAAGGAAGAGGAGGGTGTGAAGAGTGAGGTGCATACACTTTCAAACCTGGACTATCTGTTTCTTCTGCTTCTCTTTGACTGGTGTGGAGACCACTGTTGGCCAAGGTGCATGACCCTTAGGTCCAAGAGATGACTTAGAAGCAGTTCTAAATGGCCAAGGCATTAGGAGCTGCAATTTCCTCCCTGACATGGCTGGGAGGCTCTGTGCCAGGTGAGGCTGTGGTCACCCAGGAGGGATCCCCTTGATCAGAACATACTGTCAGGTCAGGGCTGCTCTTGTTTGTTTGGCCAGGTCAAACCAGCTGGAAAAGGGGCTGGTTTGAATGTACAGCAGTAGCTAAATAAGTAATTGAAGATGGGGTGGCAGTCCCTGGAGAATCAGGGCAGGTTTGGTTGTTGTAATCCCTTGCTAATGAAGCTACCAATGCTGTAAATGGCAAATGGAAAAAGAGGCTCAGGCAGAGCAGCAAGAAACCAAAGGACAAACACGTTTTAAACCTTTTCTTGCTATCTTGGTAGATGGCTTTGATCATTTCACAGAAATCAACAGGGGAAAGAAATGACACCAGAGAGGCAAAAAAATCCATTTTATCCTCCTTTTCCCTCTTTTTCTAATGTTTTCTTCAATACAGATATGGCAAAAGTACAGAACAACAGCAGGAAAAAATAAGAGATAGCAATTTTGAGAAAAAGGGAATGCACTAAATGCTGCCTGCTGTCTACCCCATTTCAGATAAAAAGTAGTGAGTCTCACTGCACATGTTCTAATCTTAAGAATTCAAGTTTTAAGTTGAAATGTTTTTTTCACTGAAATTTTGGGATAAGTTTAAGGAAAGGCAGAGAGAGAAGAAAATCAGGCAGAGACTAATCAAGGACTAATTTGTTTCAAAGTCTGTTATATCCAAATATCACAGAGGAATGCCTTAACATAGATGTTTTATCAAAGGAAAGCCAGTGTGAGATCATAAAACAAAAGTTGAAAAGTGTCCTAATAGAAGATTAATAGAAACATAAATAGTCTCAAATTTACTAGAGGAACAAGGAAAAGAGCCTCAGAGGAGACACATAAAGAAAAGAAAATTGTGCCTAGTAATCTTGAAAGAAGGTAACTGCAGTTATGTCATTCAGGACAACTAACTCAAGTTGAAGCTTTTCTATCCCTTCCTTCTCCCTCATTGCTCTAGGGTTGGGATCCTACAGTCATCATCTGCCATTGGTGAAACAGCCCTGCAGAGGCTTTTCCAGGAGCTGTGATGTGTTGGAACTTCACAAGGGGTGAGGGAGCCATCCACACCACAGAGGAAACACCCCCAAAACTGAGCTTAGACATCCCCTAAAGATCACAGGAGTCAGGAACAGCAGTGTGGGGTGTTAAAGAGGAATTGTCATGGTGGAGGAAACCACATGAGTCACACAGCTCAGGGTGGTCAAAAGTCCAGTCATGGTTTATCAGCACCTTCCTCAAGGAGACCAGGAGCTGATTGTGAATCAGGAACATGTTTCTCTAAAGGCTCTGGATGAGTTTTTCTTACATAGGAGTTTAATTTCAAAGTCTTTTGCTCATCTCTACCTGTCTTCAGCCATCTCTGACTTAAACAGGTGGATCTTATTTTTAGGCTCTTCCACCTTACTGTTGTTGAGCACCCAAGACAGTGATGTGCTTCAGCATTTAGGGCTTTTCTGTGCTTTAGATCCCAATTTTTTAGAGGTTTAAGTAGAAGCAAGTGATAGTTTTCTGTCATATCAAACTTAATGGACAATGCTTAATATGCCACAGAGCTTTGATGCCTACCTCTGAAAAACAAAAAGTAGCAGACCTTCTAATCTGTGGAATCAGTGCAGTAGCCAGCTCCTAGGATGGCTCACAGTTTATATATGGCTAGGTTCCAATTCCATGAAGCTTTATTGTGCTCAGATAATAGGCACTAGCACCAAGACCTACTCTAGAGCCCACCTGGAGCCATTAGAAGGACACTCTTGATCATACTGCTTTGAAGAGTTGCACATCCATGTATTTATCTCTCTCAGTCTGAAGGGGTGCATGAGGACTGCAGACAGAGGAGACACAAAGTGGGTCTGACTGAGGCACTGAAAGCACCAGCAGCCCAAGCAGACCTGGAAGAACTCTGTAATGAGAAGCAGGGTTTACTGTTCCAGACAGTGTCACACAGGCAGTGGGCTGCTTTTTCTGACCTCAGCAGATGATTTTACATGGACCTGAGCTGCAGTGGTTGGACTTCAGTTAGAAACTTTGAAGTGTGGGGGCTTTCTGACACCTTTTACTGTGCTTTGAAACAAGTATCTGAAAAATCTATTGTATTTCTTTAAGAAGTCAGTATTTCTTTTCTTACTCAGGTAATTATGTGTGATTATAAGCATGCCTCTATAAAATATCACGAAAAATAAATTTCATTTAAATACTATAAGGGCACAAATATGTAATACAAAAATCCCCAGGGTGGATTTCCAACAGGAGTTTTGCTTATTTTTTCCTAGTGAATGCTCTCTGTAGTTCCTCTCAATGGTGGTAACTGGTTACATTCATTTATACATGTCAAAAGCAAAAACATGGGGAGACTTTTTAGTCAGCTGTACAAAAGTACCTACTGCTGTTCTTTATTTGATAATTGAGAAAAAAGAAAAAAAAACAAAAACCAACCAGATTACTAGATCTCCACAGGAAGCCAAAGAAGCTGCAAAGTTCATAGTAACAACATGCCATGACTGCAGCAGAAGCTGGACATAATACTAGCAAAAAGGTTAAGAAGAGAGGTGACAATCTGTATTAGGTTGTCATGGTTAGCAGCTACATTTCTATTTTGATTTATATTGCCTCAAGACCTAGCTTCTTGCTGATATTGGAAAAATATCTCTTTCTGTCCCCTCTTATCTCTAACCAAAGAGCACTTTTCTCTGACTAAAGTGTGACCACATGCCGAGCATCTCACCAAACAAATTCCCACATTCTCCCCTGCTTCCCCTTGCTCCTCCCAGGCACAGCCAGCCAAGCCTGTCTCATTCCCCCATCCCCAGCTGGTACAGCCCAGCACCTCCTGGGGTCCTGCAGCCCTGCTCTGTTTCACTGCAATCTTTGCCTCTCCTGTTCCTTTTGCTCATCCTGGTGGGACTGCAGCAGCATTGCCACTCCTGGGGAGAGGATGTGGCCTCATCGGCCATATTGCTGATGGGGACTGCAATACAAAATGTTTTCTGTTCCTCTCTTTTCTGTTGCTCTTTGGGGGAAACTAATTTAATAAAGTACTCTGCAAAGCCTTCCTGAGCATGGGGCCCCAAAGCAGCACAGGCATTTTTTATGCCAAACCCCCTGTGAAACTCAATGCCACTTGCATATAAGCTGCCCTTGCCTTAGGACTCAAGGCAGGACAGCTTTTCTATCAAGGTGCCAGATCCAGAATCACAACTAACATCCTGCACTTCCCACACCAGTGGTCCCTTGAGGCTTGAGGAGGAAACTGGACTGTGAATAACGAGGTATCTGAACAGTTGGTGACTCACTGGAAGTCCATGGTCTGAGATACTGACAGTCTGCCAACAATTTTGTCATGGTTGTCAGTGAGAGGAAAGATAAGAACAGAACCACAAAGTGGTGTTGATTTTTAAAGGTCAGCATACCCGTGGTTCAAAGTCACCGTGGGAGCAATCGTCTATATTTTCACAGAGATTCACTGATAAAAGGAAAACTAAAAAATTGTGCATTATCTCCTTTTACATAAATACAAAATACCTATAAATTAGTATTCTGAATACAATGGCCCAACCTTAGCTACATATTCATCTTTGTGTTTCCAATGTGGAAGTTATCTTGAACTTCTACACATTTCTCATCATAGGAATACCAAGTTTATGGGAATATTTGCTTGTACATTTGATTGTCTCTCATCCCAAAGGTGATGTAAAATAAGTTTGTGCAATGGGATTACCAAGAAGAAACCAATGAGCCCCATTTGCTTGTAGTTCATCATCTGTATTGAGGAGGGTGAGAAAGCCCCCAGAGTTAACAGATGTGTCTGCAAATCATGATTTCTTTTTATTGTAGTCTTACTGATCTTTACCAAGTTGACAAAATGACATTCAACTGGTAAAAAATTGCTAGTAATTGTGTGAATTAATGCAGCTAATATCCCTGGAGTTTTCATTTGACACAAAACAAATTTAACAAAAAACCAAATCAAATTATCTTCAATATAAATGAGTTATAGTATGTTCACAGTGCTGCAACCCCAGAAAAAATGGAAGATTCTAAACCAGCTAAAAAAAGTCAGAGCCCATGGGAGAGCTGTAGGTCCCTGAACTAGAGATGGTTAGACAGAATAATTTATCCTCCAGTTGAGTCTCCATCTCTGACAGCATCTGTCTCATTTGTTATTTCTCTGCCTCCTACTTTATCTGGCTCACAGATGTTACCCTTCCTGCACTTTTGTGAACTTGTTAACACAGTACTAAGATCTCTTCCCTTTTCATGTCTTGTTCTGTTGAATTACTTAATCAAAACCATATATTAATCAAGCCTAATTTCTTCCTTTTGCTCCACAGATTCAGGCAGTGATTATTGCTTAAGACACCATCTCTTTGAAGAGTATATTGAACAGTAATGCAATAATGCTCAATTTCAGGTAGGTAGTCCAGATAATCTTTTAAATATTTCTATACTGTTCCTAGCTTGATTTACTTTTCAGATTCAAAGCAAAATCATTAAAAATATCTTTTTGAATGGGGGCAAAAATAAGAACAGATATCAAATATAAGCTGACATAATCCTGTTTCATCCATTCTGAGAAATTCCTCACTTTCTGTAGAAAGTTTTTTAACTTCTTTATGGCACAGCAGAATTAAACTTAAAACTCAATCCTTCCTTGCTGTCATTGCATGGTGCAGAATATCTGCTCACTGCAGTTGTGGAGCTGGCTTCTGTAAAGGTGAAAAAAGCCATTGTTCCTCTTCATACTTCCTTGTATTGAATAAGTCCCTGGCACTGAGACAGAAATACAGAAAAGTAATGTGTGAACTTAAATTGTGCTGGTGAGGGGACCACTCTAATACAGCACTGGGTTTTTTCTTTATGATTCTTTGAGAGCTCTGTGATTTCCTTAGCTCTTCACTGCCTTACATAGACAATATTTTATCAGTGGAGTAACTGATGCAGAGCCCTTCTAGAGTTATCCTGACTTAATTTAGAAAAAAAAATAATGGCTGTAACTTTTGTTAAGGAAAAACTCAGCCTGTCCTGAAATACATTTTTCTATAGCCCTCTAAATTTATGGCAAACCTAATTCAAAGTTACCAGAATATGGCATTCTTACTTGTATTGAGTAGACTTTTTCTTTTTTTTTTTATGTTAAAAAATTTAGAATTACTTTTTTTTTTCCTTGGGAAGTCATAATGCTAGTATTTGAAGTGGGGCACCATTTAGCTAAATGGTGACTGCAAGAATAACATTGTTTATTAGAATAAGCTGGACTGACTTAATGCTTTTACTGCCTTTTTTATCCTCATGAACTTGTAAAACCATGCTGAAGACGAAAAATGAAACTCTTGGGAAAAGAAAAGTGGTTTTCTGTGTTGTTTTTTTCTTTCAAGGAACACGGGACACTTAAGGAAAATGCACAGGAGTTGAATGTTCTGTAAAATTTCTTAGAAAACTCTATTTATGTGGCTCCAAAAAAAGGACTCTTTGACCTGCATCACTTCCTCATGACTAAGCAACCCTGTGCCACAGAAAGCACATATGAAAGGATCTGTTCTTAGCCAGGTCCTCCTCTGCTTTTCTGCTGCTCCCCTTGAAGATCTTCTTGTCTCTAAAAGTGCTAGCAAGGCTAATAAGTTCACACTTCAGCCTAGACAGAGCTCAACAGAAATCTTTGTCCAGAACAAGATGCAAAATAATTGAACCCAGGCTTCCTGGCATCTGACTAGAGAAATGGAGTATTCAGAATGTCTCAGCAAATTTAAAGTTTTTGGTCCTTCACTAACTAAACCCTTTACTTTATATGTGTTAAGTCAAAATGTAAAAAATAAAAAACCTGAACCAATCAATCACCAACAAAAAAACCCTGCCACCAAAAACAAACTCCAACAAAAAATTCCAAACCTTTAATTTGTAGATGGTAGCATTCATATTTCTTTGAAAAATCTCTTTATAGCATAGGGCAATCCAACTTCTCTAGTTTTTGCGAGAAAAAAAGAATTGAATATTTAATATATTTAAATTTAATATAATAGAAAATTTGCCTTGTCTTGCTTCATTGTTTTTTGGTTGGCTGGTTTTGTCTTGGCCTTTCTGTGTTCATGGTATTTCCCTCCTTAATCCTCCTTAGATTTAGGATTAGAACTCAATCCCCACACTAGGTTCAGAAGTTTGCTGAATTAATCTGTTGTTGCTTGAATCCCTGAAGTGGGTTCAATTTTATTATGGAATGCTTAGGAATTACTGAAACTTCAGTGGAGACTGTTAATGAGAAGCTGCAAGTCCAATGATTAATTAATATATTGTATTCTCTTTTACTTGGTTTTAATTCTGTACCATTGCCTGGGGGGACATATCTCTTAGGTTGTCTGGCAGCAGCCTCATTATTAACAGAAATGGGCCATAACTTCTTCAAATAAAATATTTTCATTGATCTTAAAAGAGAAATTTTAACTTTGAGCACTTTATTTAGTTTCATAGCTATCTTTCTGTCCTGTTTTTGTAACGCTGGGACCCCAAGGTCCACTCTCCAAGGTCACACCACTTTGTGCTGTGCAACATTAGGATGTGCAGGTCAAATACATGTGGGTCAGGAGCTACACAGCTGTGAAACTCAAAAACAACAGCAAATATTGAAGTTTAAGTGGATGGCATTTATCTCCAGAAGTCACTTAGAGTGAAAGTACCCAGTGCCATTTTGATTCTGGAGGGAGCATCTTTCTGAAACCTGTCATAAAAAACCCAAACAATTCCAATATTTAACCTACAGTCACTAGAGATTAGGACCACAGACAGTTTCAGATGTGCAGATTTCAAGAAGATCTGCTTACACCCAGATCTTCTTGAAATCAAGAAGAAAAAGGATACTCAAATTGGGTCCAGTGGGTCATTTTCAAAAGGCAATCAAAAGGTTCAAAATTATTTGTTGGTGTCTGATCTACAAAAATCACCAAAAGCTACCAGCTTGCGTTTTCTGGCCATGGGAATGGCTGTAGGGATGCTAACTCTACTAGCCCCAGCACCAAGAGCTACCTTCTGTCTAATTAAATCCCATTTTAGTTTCAGGAGCACGAGGATTCACTTTGTATTTTGTGAAACTATCTGGATTTAAAAAATATATAAATTAGTCAGTGTAATATGAATTTGCTTTTTTTTTATTTTTAGGAAAATATTGTCTCAAGAATAAAACAATTACTGAAAAATTTGGAATACTGGATGTAACAGTTTTGAGTAATATTGTGTAACATTCAGCTGAAAGATTGTGACAAGATGCAATGATAAGTGAGATGTAAGAAGAATAGGATTTGGTAGGATAGGAAAGGGTAGGATAGAATAAACAGAACAGGTATTTCAGAGTGCCCTGAAAGAACATACTCTTCCTAAGGCTGAAATCTGTATTCACATGGGCTGATGGAATAGCAATATGTATTCTATACAACCACATTAATTCAAAAAACTGCATTTCTGAAGGGTGTGTAAATTGCTGTAGGTTATTCAGAGATTTTGGGTTATTCCCTCTATATTATCAGTTCTTAATTTTCCCCTTACTTATTTCCCCACTAATTTTTGTCTCTGATACTTCAAATTAGGTCTTTGTCTTCACTGCCACTGACATTTGGAATAATTTGTTCCCTGTAGTGTAAACTGTAATTATGGGAAAGCACCATCATTCCTCCTATAATACAGAGAAATCAAATCAAATATACCAGGATATTTTTGTATTGGATATTCTCACTAAGACATTTAAGAAAGAAAGTGAAGGCCAAGTTGAAAGATCTTTAGTGGTTTGACCCAGAAGCTTCTGGCATAGGTGCCCCACAGCACAGTGTGTGTGCCTTTGCTGAATAAACATGGGTCAGCACTCAGAGGCATCACAGACTGGCTTTGACTCATTCCTCTTTAAACAGTTATTTCTGACTACGTTATTGCAGGTCACTCATCATAATTTGAATTTTGAATTTCTATGATCTAAAAATGATCTACAGACCTGTATGATCTACAGAATCAATGGATATTATAGACATTTTTAATAAAAGAAAAATTATATCAGTACTTGGAAAACTATGAAAATATCTGTATCCTGCACAGATCTAAGATTTATTGTTTCAACTAATGTCTGTATGAAGATAATGCACATATATGTATAATTTCTCCAATAACTTTCAAGCTGTTTTGCTGAATTTCACATGGAGATAGAGTATATAGATACACAATTTTCTAACAGGTTTGAAGTTGAAAAGTTGACTTGGAAAAAAAAGGGGAGGGACCAATAAGGGATGGACTAACATGAGCACATCCTCAATTGCACTAGGCAGACCACCTCTGAAATAAGTGTTTTGGCTGTTTCAGCCAAGGGAAAAGGGTTGGTCAGAGCTTAGTTTGTTAGCAAATTCAGCTATAACTCATCTCTAATAAATCAGGCTTTGCTTCTTCTACTGGTCTCAGAACAGTTTGTTATATGTTTATTTTAGGGTCCTGTGTCTGTCATAAATCTGGGGCTGTTTATCAAGCAGTGACAGTGATATATTGGTATGACTATGTTGGCTCCCAGAAGTGGGACTGTAGACATGCTGAAGAGAGTTCATACTTCCTTTTTAAAAAAAAAATAAGAAAAAGGATCACCTATCATTATATTCATCTGTGGTCAGAGTCCATGAGTGGGGTTTACTCTCGACCAGAGGGGCTCTGAAAGAGCTACTTTTTGCTGAGTGAATTTCAATTAGTATGTTTCAGTTTAATTTTTTTTTCCCTGATGATCAACTTGAATAATATCAAATTTTTCTGAACAACATGGGACTGGACTGGATCTCCTGGGCTGACTCTAAAAGAAGCCTTTTCCTTTTAAGACTTTCTTTGTTTCAGCAGAAGTGGGAGAGCAGTTTCCAATAATAAAAGTAAAGAAATTGAAGCAGGGCAGAGAAGGGTGAGGTACCTGGTCAACAGAGAAGGGTGAGGTGCCTGGTCAGGAAGAAGAGAAAATAAAAGACCTAGAAAGTGGTGAGAGAGGGAGTGGCTGAGACCTGAGGATGTTGAACATCCTGCACCCAGAGGACCAGAGGACAAGGGCATACATTTGTTTCTCTGATGCCAGAAAACACTTGCAAAGGCCACTATCCAACCATATTTCTTGGTTCATACAGGATGGAGACACAGGCTTACCTTTTAGCCAGAGTGATTTTATATCAAGGTGGGTCTGTAGGACACTGCTTCAATTCTGTGTGCCCTGATGCTGATTTTTGAAGAAATCCTGAATTTTGGATTTGAATAGCTGACTTTGTACACCTAACCTTATTGTCTTATCATAATATGTGTGAATTCATAGAGATATAAAATTAAAGGAAAAATGCCAAAACCCAAAGCCTAAGTGTAAACAATGCAGCTGAAATGAACCCCAGACTAAGAGAGAGACAGGGCTGTTGCTACCTGCTC